TATTTACCTACTTGCACTTTGACGTGCTTTCGAACTGCTAGGTTGGCAGGAGCAGGGACCGAGCAATGGGAGCTCATCCCATCGCAGGGATTCGAACCGCCGACCTTCTGATCGGCTAGTCCTAGGATCTGTGGTTTAAACCACAGCACCACCCGCGTCCCGTGCTTTCCATAGGTCTCTGCTTATGCAGTGTAGGAATAGGGTGCTGGACCAGGTGGGCTTTCATATCCTTTCACTGCTCACCACAAACAAGAGATGATTCCAATAAAACAAACAGTTAAAATATTATCTTGGGTCTCAGTGACATCTGCTGTTCACTGTATTCAAATCTCTGCCATTTTTTAAAAATCACCACTTTCCACCTCTCAGGTTCTCTCCATCTCAGCTTTATTCAAACTGCTGCTGTGGCTTTAAACCAACCCCCCCCCACTGTGTCCCTCCATCCCTTTCTCATACTTCTTCCATTGTTTCAAACCACCACTTTCCCCTCTGTCAGTGTCTCCCAGTGCCATTTCATGGCCGCTGGGGTTGTGAAGTAATGTGGTGGCAAGCTCCGAAGTGCAGGGTCCCTTCATGAAAGTCGCAGCCATGCCCCTTCAGAGCCATGCCCACCCAGTCTTAATTATCTTAATAATTATTAATAATCTTAATTATACAACCTATCCAATAGTGACAATTAGGGATGCATTGCAAGGATCAATGCAGGCCTCCTTTCAGCCTTTGTGCTAGATCTACTATTTTCTGTGCATGTACATCAGCAAAAGATTTGGAGTGCACAATATCTTACTTTGCAATGACTCGAGTTGCGTTTTCCTTGCACACAACAGAGCTTGGGCATCCTTTTCCTGAAACTGAAGCACCATGTGTTTTCAGTGCTCCTAAATGATTGGCTTTAGAGGATACAGAACAGCAGCTCATTGGTGCTCTCCCAATACACTTCCCTAGACAGCATCTTAAAAAGCAGAGACATCACCTTGCCAACAAAAGGTCCGTATAGTAAAAGCTATGGTTTTCCCAGTAGTGATGTATGGAAGTGAGAGCTGGACCATAAAGAAGGCTGATCGCCGAAGAATTGATGCTTTTGAATTATGGTGCTGGAGGAGACTCCTGAGAGTCTCATGGACTGCAAGAAGATCAAAGCTCTCCATTCTTAAGGAAATCAGCCCTGAGTGCTCACTGGAAGGACAGATCGTGAAGTTGAGGCTCCAATACTTTGGCCACCTCATGAGAAGAGAAGACTCCCTGGAAAAGACCCTGATGTTGGGAAAGATGGAGGGCACAAGAAGAAGGGGATGACAGAGGATGAGATGGTTGGACAGTGTTCTTGAAGCTACCAGCATGAGTTTGACCAAATTGCGGGAGGCAGTGGAAGACAGGAGTGTCTGGCGTGCTCTGGTCCAGGGGGTCACGAAGAGTCGGACACGACTAAATGACTAAACAACACAGAGTGACACTAGGAGCCAATCCTCAGTGGCTGACTCACCTCCTTTCACTTTGATTGGCTCCAGTCACCTTCTTCTTCCCTTTCATGGTGACTGTACAATTATAGGATGCTGGAGACAGGCAACCTGATGCGAAGTAGCTGCAGAAATAGTAATGGGTCCTTGACCTCCATGACCCTGGACCACTGCACTGCTGGTGTTGAGCAACCTGCTTTGTCTTTTGTTCCCTTTTCCCACCCTTACCAGGCAAATATAGGATTGTGATGCTGTGCTACAACTCCCCAAAAGAGAGCTGTGTGATGACAGCCTTAGTTTTTAATGTTTATCCAGGGTGGGGTGGGGAATGCAAAATTATGCTGAATAGGGAAATGTTGTGAAGTCAAGTGGGGAGGCAGTGGAGAAGTGTTGGGATCTCTTGTGTAGACAGATAGGTCAATCACAGCAAATTATTTCCCCAGGGCATTCCAATTATAGCAACTTGGGGTAGAGATTTCTGCAAACTTTTAGGAGAGCTCAGTCAGGTTCCTCTCAGTTTTGCTGAAAGTTTTTTCATGTGATTAATTAGTCCCTTTCTATTCTAATTCCTTTCTGTTTTCCAGCAAGCAACACCGACTTTGATAATTGCATTTTTCTTTTTAACTTTATTTTTTTTAAAATAATTTTTATTAAAGTTTCAATAAAAAGTTGAACAGAAAAAAACATAAAAAAGAAATACACAAATACACAATACAAATTCCAAAAAAAGAAAACAAAAACAAAAACAAAAACAAAAAAAAGAAAAAGAACAATTAAAAACAATATCACTTTTTCATTTCCCTTTTTTAAATTTACTTATTTTCTGGACTTCCTCATACCTCCCTCTTTTGTATTCCAGTCCAAATTGTTCCTCCAGTAATTTCTTTCCCACTTTTTTAACCCCAATCTTTATTCTTAGTGTAATATAGCATTAAAAATTTACCTCTTAAGTACCAAATTTCCCTTTCCTTTAATTTATTTACTCCTAATCTTTAATCTTAATGTAATATAGCATTAAAATTTTACCTCTTAAGTACCAAATTTCCGTTTCCTTAAACTTCTTTAATCCTGATCTTTAATCTTAGTCTGTCTTATAATTTTATCCTGTACAGCTGGAAACCACTTATTTTCAATCCAACATCACTCTAACATTCCTTAATTTTGCAATATTTCTGTAAGTAGTCTTTGAATTTCTTCCAATCTTCTTCCATCACCTCTTCTCCCTGGTCACGGATTCTGCCAGTCATTTGCGCCAGTTCCATATAGTCCATCAATTTCATCTGCCATTCCTCCAGCGTGGGAAGTTCTTGTGTCTTCCAGTACTGTGCGATAAGTATTCTTGCTGCTGTTGCTGCATACATAAAGAAAGTTCTATCCTTTTTTAACACCATTTGGCCGACTATGCCCAGGAGAAAGGCCTCTGGTTTCTTAGGGAAGGTATATTTAAATACCTTTTTTCTGTCATTATATATCATTTCCCAGAAAGCCTTAATCTTTGGGCACGTCCACCAAAGGTGAAAAAATGTACCTTCAGTTTCTTTACATTTCCAACATTTATTATCGGGCAAGTGATAGATTTTTGCAAGCTTGACTGGGGTTATGTACCACCTGTATATCATTTTCATAATATTCTCTCTTAAGGCATTACATGCCGTAAATTTCATACCTGTGGTCCACAACTGTTCCCAGTCAGCAAACATAATGTTATGTCCAACGTCCTGTGCCCATTTAATCATAGCCGATTTTACCGTTTCATCCTGAGTGTTCCATTTCAGCAGCAAGTTATACATTCTTGACAAATTCTTAGTTTTGGGTTCTAACAGTTCAGGATAATTGCATTTTTCATTGCATTTGTTTTCTCTCCCCCCCCTTACATTTATGCGAACTTCTGTTAGAGTCTTCCCTCCTCCACACTGTTTGTGTTGCTTTCTATTCATTTTCTCACACACCCTGCCATTTTCACTTTGCTTGTTTAATGTTTCATCCCTCTCTCTTCAGTCTTAGGGTACCTGTGATTTCATTGCATTGAGTTCTTGCTGTCCAGTACTATTAGTAATTTTTCTCCCTTGAGCACCTCTAGGTTTGCTAATTTCCTCCCTGCCACTCAACTAAGCCCTCTTGTCCCTCAAGTCAGCTTCCAGTTGTGCTGCTCATTGTTGGTCTATTATTACCAACTTATTGAGGGGCACCACCCTCATGTCAAACTGATTGCCCACAAAATGCAATGGGAGGTTTAGCAATTTGTATTTCACCCACCTCAAAAAGGTAATCATTCTGAAAGTTGGCAGGCTTCATTCCCCAAGAAGAGACAGTTTTGACAGTAAATTGCAACCAATTCTGGCGGAAAATAAAAATGTTATAGACTTTTCTTTACTTTCTTTTTCTAAAGAAATTAAACTTGAAAGTTTCCCTTCATGAAAACCCCTACATGGATCTCTTTGAAAATTGGCAGGCTTAATCCACTGGGCCCACAAACTTTATCCACTTCTGTGAAATGGGTTGGGGGGGGGACGAACATCAGGAAGAGCTTTCTGAGACAGTAAGAGCTGTTAGTGGAATGGCTTCCCTTAAGGGTGGGTAAGTTGTGGAGTCTCTTTCACTGGAGGTTTTAAAGCAGACATTGGATGGCCATCTGTCATGGATGCTTTAGTTGAGATTCCTGCATTGCAAGGGGTTGGACTAGATGGTACCCCTTCCAGCTCTACAATTCTATGAACTGAATGCACATACATTGGGGAGTGTCTAAATCTGGTCAGAGAGTGAGTTATTTCCTTTAGGGAACCATAAGAACTGGGGTCTACTTTAATAAGAATGAATAGGTTACATTTTCCAGTATGTGCTTCAGGGGTCACATAAAGACCATTGATGACTATGCAATGAGTGATACATATCGTTGTCAAAGGTGGGGAATTATAGCCATTTCTGATTTCCTACTAGTGATACGATACAATACGATAATCTTTATTCTCAGGCAGCTAGTCATAGTCTTTATAACCATGTACCTTCTTCCAGAAGGCAGAAACTGAAAGAGATCATTTCCAGGGTGCGCACTATCCTGCACTATGTCTGCAGCTTTCATATGGCACCTGGAAGCATAGATTTGATCCAAGGTGGGAAGAGTGCCCCAATTATTCTCTCCGCAGTTTTTACAACCTTGGACAGCACTGTGAGTGCGGTGGGGTGTGTGTGGACAAAGACAGCCTCAGTCTGGTCCAAGCAGAATAGGACTGTTTTACAAAATGCCAAATTGGGATCTGAACTGGATCTTCTTATTGGTGAACATCCCTAAATTCAGCCATGTTGAGAGCAATGGTGGGGAACTTCCAAACTGTAGGCCTCTGAGGTTGATCTGCCAAACACCCACCTTTCTTGCATCCGACATCATATGATGCAGGCACAGTTCAAATCAGGAAAACTCAAAAAAAGAATTTAAGCCAGGAAAGAATCTGCAGCTGGGAATTTCCATCACCTGTCAAAAAATCATAGAGTTGGAAGGGACCCCAAGGGTCATCGAGTCCACCCCTGTGCAATGCAGGAATCTTTTGCCCAGCATCGGGCTCAAACTCACAACCCTTAGATTAAGAGTCTCATGCTTTACCGATTGAGCTATCCCTGAGTGGAGAGATGGCCATTTCTAGATCTGGCCCTCCCTGGTTTGGAATAACGTCATATCGCCTGTGATTAAGGAACTGCTACATCACCGCAAAAATGTTATTTTAATGCGTCTTTCACCCACTCCTGTTTTTGGCACTTATACATTACACAGCCTTAGCCTTAGTTTGTAAGAATATGAGATTGCCCACACACTTGTAGGAATGACTTGTCAGGGCAAGATGATGACAAAGCACTAGGAGAAAGGATGTTTTCACTGCCAGAATCTTCAGCGAACATCACCACCCACCCACTTCCTCCTGGAGGCCATTTTGATACTTGTTTATGAATGTATATGCCAGTACAGTCTAGTGGGTAGACTATTGCAAACCATTATTCTTTGGAAAATGCATATTCTCCGTAATCAGAAGAATGAAATAAAAATGACCTGGCACATATATATATATATATATATATATATATATATATATATATATATTGCAATGCAGAAACTATAAAGCATGCATTCACTTATGCATGTTATGCAAGCAAATATTAATGCATATTGTTATCTCTTTCTCCCTTTCTCCCCTCACACACATACTACAGTAACCAAGACTGCATTATTCATTATTTGTATAACACCTATGAGTGACAGGTAAGAGACAGGGAGCTTTCATGTTGCTTGGTGTGTAAGTGGCTTGTGTGTTTGGCCAAACTGGACTTTGAAAAGGTTTGGGAATCTTATTTCAGCATTTTGTTATGTAGTTAGTTGTGGCCCTGTTTATTGTTGTTTAGTGCTTCATTTAACCATTTAGTAAATTGTTTTTGTTGTCATCCATTTCTTCTGAGCTACAGGTTATAGAATCTGTATATCCTTTGCTTGAGGGCTGACTGTGTCCAACCTCTGCAGTTCATACCTGCAATATCGAAGTGAGTACAATTTCCCCCTCTGCTCTTCAGACCCAATTTAACTCCCCTCTCTGTCTGTTCACTGGAAAGCCTAATCATTACACGAGAGACCTCATAATGGCCACCACACATTTTATTTGTCCAGAGCAGCAAGGATCATTACTGATGAAGACAGAGAATGACTGCATCAAAATCAACATTTCCATGGGCGCCAGCATCAATTACCATCAACTGTTACCTTACTTGTCAGAGAAGCGATACTTGTCTGTTTTACATGCCAGTGTAGACAAAACCACTATCTTCTCCAGGATAAAAATATCCCAACAACCATAAAAGTTACAACATAAACCATGGTCATCTATGGACAACTGTTACTATGTGTTCCCCGTTTTGCCCTAAACACAGGAGAGAAATGTTGTTCGGCTCACATATAAAGGCAAGCCTACATGATTTGTGTTTTTCAAAACAATATGTGAATTTGAAGCACCGCCTTCCTTTGAAATTCACACTTCTCTGAATTTTGCAATGAGGCTCTCCAGCCAAGTAATGTATACAAAGTTGAATTTTCAGGTTAAGGGGTGCATTGTAATGCATACATGAGTGAAAATAACCTACAAAAATGAATAACTAGCAAAAAGGTGTATATTAGGAAATTTTCATGAGAAAATGCATGTATTAGAAGAAATACACACTAAAATTTTATTAGGCCTTTTTTATATAGGAAAAAGGTTAGCAAAATGATGTGTAAATGTGGAGACCTGAACCTATATTGAAATATAAATATAAACAATCCCTGGAGATGTATCGTTTTCCTTGTAATATCTTTTGGTTTGTAAGTTTCCATTTTCAGCATGGAGGATCATGTAGATACCCTGGGGGACAGTGCTAAATTATAAAGCTTTATTTGTTCCCCAAAGCTACAAGCATGTCTGCATCGCTCCCCTGGACCAGGTAGCTGCAAACAAAACAAAACCAGACATGTCTCCTTTTGCTGCCCACACTCTGGCCTACACTGTTTTTTCCTGGGTCAGGACTACAAATCCCATCATTCATGACTATTGGCTAAGTTGGCAGCGATGATGAGAGCTGCAGGCCAATAATGTCTGGAAGCCCAGTGTTGAAGGACTGTGACCTACTCTATTTTTCTGCTTATGCTGGCTGGAGCTGACGTCTGCTCTGGGTACCTTTAGCAGGAGGGTACCTTTGGCAGGGGAAAGACACAGGATATTTTTTTTGGAGGGGCCCAACAGTAATTTATAATGTGCTAGGTGATTTTAAGGCATTTTAAGTAAATAATGTGTGGTATGAGAAATGCTAGAGTGGCCTAATTGCAAGACAGCTGTGCCAATCTGCCATGAAGGTTCCCAATTTCAAAACCTAAATAGAAATCCGTTTTTCAATTATTTTTAGTAATTACCGTGCATGTGCATACACCTCCATAAACATAGACAACTATTTAAATCTCCACACGAAAGCTCAGAAGTGAATAGCAAATACTACTATATATGATTTGGAGCAAAAAAAAGCTGTTTCTTAAAGCTCAAGTGAGATGGAAACATCCTTACGCAGGGGAAACAAGTAGATGCTGCAACAAGAATGAGTCATTTATGTGTTTTATTTGGTTCTGGAAACTGCTCTGGAAACTTTGTAGTAGGACATATATAAATCTTCGAAATACAGTGGTACCTCGGGTTACATACGCTTCAGGTTACATACGCTTCAGGTTACAGACTCCGCTAACCCAGAAATAGTGCTTTAGGTTAAGAACTTTGCTTCAGGATGAGAACAGAAATCGCGCAGCTGCAGCGTGGCGGCAGCGGGAGGCCCCATTAGCTAAAGTGGTACCTCAGATTAAGAACAGTTTCAGGTTAAGAACGGACCTCCGGAACGAATTAAGTACTTAACCTGAGGTACCACTGTAAACAAATAAATGAAATGAAAGCACTGGCATCAGTATTAATTGAAGTAGAAATTCTCTCTCTCTCTGTGTGTGTGTGTGTGTGTGTGTTTGCTAGTTTTTCCAAATACCCGGCCACAAAAGAGGATCTGGTCTTCAAACTGAAGACTAGCTGTATGGGGAAACTGCAGAGGAAACAAGGTTAAATATGCTCTGGGCCCCCATTTCTGCATTTTCCACCTATGGCCCCCTTGGAATATCCCAGGGCTTCCCAGGGGGCAATATGGCCTAAGGTTGGGAAGTACTGATCTAGACGACACTGTATTTCTTTTTTGAACTTATACCCTGTCCAAATTATTAGCATCCCCAAAGCCAGTATGAACAGAATGTGTTGTACCCTATTCACAGAAAATACAGGTGGCCAGATTACCATTTGGTAGGGTTTTCTATCACATGGCTGTTTGGGCATTGGCATTACTCTGTGTGTGGTGTAGCCACAGGATTTTCTGTTCATGCTTGGTGAATTATGTAGCCTTTACATCAGGTAAGACTTCCCCGGTTGGATGGTGCTGCTGAGTAGGGAAGGTATTTCTCTGAGCAACAGAGTTTCATGCCTAGAGTCATTCTTCTAGGACCAGTTTGCCTCGCTTGTTTTTCATCCATGGTTTTCAGACATCACGCTCCAAGAATTCCTTTATGCATTGGTATTGATTTAAAATGTTCACAGATTTTTTTGTGGCATTCGACTTCTCCTTTTGATTTGTTTTCTTTTGGTGTGGAGCTATCTTCCCTGATTCTGATATCTCTGAAGTTACAGTTGTATATGTTTATATGTGTATCAAATGTACCAGACATGAAGGAAAAGAAAAGAAAAGAGTATAGTCTAGGCTTCTGAAATCTAAGGTAAATCTAAAATAGCAGTTTAACCATTGTGTCTCACAGAATGCCGTGGCAAGGCTCCTTATGGGGTCCTTGCTGAGGGATCACATTCATCCAGTGCTTTACCAGCTGCACTGGCTCCCGGTGGAGTACAGGGTCAGGTTTAAGGTGCTGGTTTTGACCTTTAAAGCCCTATGTGGCCTAGGACCCTCGTACCTACGGGACCGCCTCGCCTGGTATGCCCCACGGAGGACCTTAAGGTCCACAAATGACAACATTTTGGAGGTCCCAAGTCACACAGTGGTTAGATTGGTCTCAACTAGGGCCAGGGCCTTTTCAGTAATGGCCCCGACTTGGTGGAACGCTCTGCCACAAGAGACTAGGGCCCTGTGGGACTTGACATCTTTCTGCAGGGCCTGCAAGACAGAGCTGTTCTGCCTGGCCTTTGGTTTGGACTCAGTCTGACCCTTATGTTTCCCTCCCCTTATGGTTTTGATCTATGGGCTACTTTTAAAATGAGGCTGCATTTTAAATTGCATTTTAACCTGTATTTTAAATTGGACCCCCCCCCATTATGTTTTTACTGAAATTTTATTGGTGTTAGCCGCCCTGAGCCTGGCTCTAGCCGGGGAGGGTGGGGTATAAATAAAAATTATTATTATTGTTATTATTTTTATTATTATTCCCAATTCCTGTGAATTGTGCTTAGAATTCTTAGTTCCCTTCGAAGACTTATAGTTCCCAGGGTTTTAGGATGAGAGAAAATTGTTCCACTAGTTTACTGTAGATATCACCGTAGAATCTGACTAGCACTATAAGAGGGAGAAAAAGATAACTATTACATAGAATGTCAGATTTGCTACAATCAGTACTGAACAGAAATCTTCAGTGTATTTTATTGCTGTGAAAGTTTGTGTAGGCAAAGTTTTGGGATGAGTTTTCTGTTTTGCTTTGGAAATAAGCCACGGAATCCAGCTGCTTACTGAATCTCAACAGCTGTCCATAGGGTAAAGTTGTTTTCTGTGCATGGAAGAAGTGTGAAACTCATCTTTTTGGAGTTTAGGTAATGCCAGTGCATGTAAACTTGGAGGTGAGAGTAAGACTCTAGGGAATGTCATTCCATTTTTAAACTGTGAGTTGGACTTCTGGTCAGCCAGATGAGGTGTGATCATAGTTTACCCTTCATGGCAGGTGTTGGTCAGTCTTTGCAAGGAATAGGAACTACTAATATGACAGCCATTTTATGAAGTTGTAGATGCAAGTTGACACAAAATCTGGGGGGAAGAAAATATGTTGGTTAAAGGATGAAAAACGTTGGATACTTTACTTTCCATAAGCA